CTAGATACCTCTTGCCGTAAGTGGCGGCCAGTTTCTGTTCTCCGACTGTAGATTGAAAACTGGATCGTAGGTACGATCATCTGAGTTTGATGGAAGAGTGCCAACTTTCGCACCAGCGAATCTTCGCTATCGCATCAGTAATGCATAACAGAAGGCGATACTCACAGGCTACAATCGCCACCGAAGCGTGCGGGCAGAAGAGTTTCCCGGAACGTTTGTTATAACAGAATATTCGGGGATAGGGAAACTTCAGTGTTACCTGTGATGAGTCTTTCGAAAATCACAGGAATTTTGTCACCAACACCAATTCGGGTTTGTTTGTTTCTCTCAGTCTGGACGAAGTCCCTTTTTCGCTATTGGCTTCTTCAGGAAGTCTTAAATCGTCGTGATCATGTTAAAAGTTTCGAATGCGAGTGATCATATTACAGAACTTATTGAGTTATCGGTTCAGTGAGCAATTGAATGCCACTTTGTTTTTAATATAGAAAGAAAATCGACAACAATCCGCAATAACTCAAGAGTTAGACCAAGACAAACTGATAGTCAAGACTAGAAGTTGGTGATGCGAGTTTCTGAACGTGTTACTAATGATAAGAGTAGAATATATATAAATATGCAACAATATTGATATCAATATAATAAGCCAGTCAAATAGAGTTGTGTCTGAGCTACAAAGTACGATTTTTGGAGCGTCTAAATTCGGAAGTCATCCATAATTCATTAACTTAACAGATATCTTCTGAATCCCTGAATTATTCACATATTCCAATCCATTGGTAAGATCAATGCATCTGTAAACATCATTGCATGTGGCTGATGCCTTGTATAGAAGAAAGATTTTCAACTATCTTGTCATTTGTGTGGGGATTAATGAAATAGTTATTCAGTCTATGAACATCGGTGTGCAATATAGTATTAACTTTTCATATATACAAGCGGGACTCCGGACAAAACTATTCTATCGATTTGAATTCTCCCTACTTCCATGTGCTCTTAAATAAATTACAACAATGTATTCGTACACAGACTATTAACTTATATGAATTACGAAGGTATAAATATATTAAATGTTAAAGTGAAGGACAATGATTTCGCGAACCATACTACACATTAGTAACAAATGGTTAGTGTTGAATTGTAGAAAAAAACGTATATTAAATTCAGTAAAGGTCTCTAAAGTTCCATTTTACTTATTCTGAACTTCTTATTCTATGTTGGATAAAATATACTGATGGCCTTGAGTTAGTCAATCAAAATCATAATAACGTTACAGCTTCACATGTTCAGTGTCGGTCGTTAATATAAGGGTAAGGGTTCACAATATTTGGTCCTAAAAGTACTTGAAGTAAAAGATTTCTATCATTTAGTGAAAAAATAAAGTCTTTGATGATGCTTAAGCTAATTTACTAAGCATACATGCTCTTGAAGAAGCCTTAAAGGACAGATTTTGTGTTAAAGTTCGTAAATCAAGTATTATAGCTAGAGCCACAGTAATACAACGCTATGGCGCAAGAAATTTATTCCATCCTCGGTTTTCAAGCATGATCTCTAGAACTTCATTGGCCTGAGGTGTAAACGTGTAACTAAATTAAACAACTATATTTCGCGGGACTTACATGGTACTCTGGTCATTTTTTGACTAGTAAATCTATAGAAGACAGATATATCTCTAGAAACGGCGTTACTTTTGAAGCAGCTGGACACTTTACAAAAACAGAGTATACTCACTGAAGGGATATTTAGTTGTCAGTTCAAATAGCAACCGTTCACAGTGTTCGTGTGTAACTATAACCTCTTGGGGGGTGATCTATCTAGTAAATCTAAGGCAAACAGATTAGCGTTCGATAATTTGTTTACGATATTGAGTTCCATCATTTGCCACTGATGACAACTACAAAGTATATGATAATTTACCTCTCTACTACTATCGGTCATTGTTCTGAAACTTCGATTAACCAGTCCATTTAATGTCATTCATCTTTAGGAACCCGTTAAATCATCGTCTCTTCCCGACTTTCATTAGCAAGTTATTGACCCCTGCACACTATTTCGAAAAATATTTGGTTATATAATAGTACTCCAATATCTCAATATTATTAATATAAATACACCGAACTTTAATATCAGTACAAAAAAGCTTCTATCCATTGTCCTTAAGTTTGTTCAGGCTTACGAAATAACCGTAAACTGGTGGGTAGCGAAAGCGAGAGAAGTGGGATAGGCAGTGGCAGTAGGTAACAGTAGACAACTGTTCAGACTTATCAAGGATACTAGTATCACAAATCCGACTATTGACGAGACTTTCTCTGAGAATGATGGGACTATTGTTCACCCTCAATCCAGGTGATTATATCAATGGGAGGATCACTTGAGGGAGCAGTTCAACTGGTGTTCAGCCACGCTTGGATTACCCACGATCTCCAATCAACCTGAGTGGCAAGTTGATGTAAATCCGACTCTTAATGGGATTGGAAAGAATCTGAGCAAGATAAGGCGAGAAGGAGAAAGAGAGAGTAATATGTCTTGATAGGTTAACCCGAGAGATTTTTGAGGATAGTGGTTCAGTTTTAGCAGTTAGGTTGACTGAGATCTTAGGTCTAACCTGGGAACTGGACGTTATCTCATGTGACTGGTGTCAATCACTGATTATCTCGGTCTGTAAGGAAGGACAAAAGTCTTCTCGTGACAATCACAGAGGGATCAGTTTAACTAATATAGTGTCTAAGATATTAGCTGCAATAGTACTTTGACGCCCAACCGGAGCTATTGAAGAGTGAACTCGAGAAAATTAGGTTTATTACAGACCTAGACCTGGTTGGGTAGACCAAGTATTTACACCTCGTCAGTTCCTAGAACATAGACACACATTTTGACGTCTGACGATAGTTTAATTTCTTGACCCTGAGGTGAAGTTCGACTCTGTTGATCATGAGGTTCTGTGGCAATGTCTGTGATTGAAAGGTGTAACAAAGAAGTGCATTAACTTTGTACAGACCACCTATCCGAACACTACTGGACAAGTCAGAGCTTATGGCGAACTGTCATCAGAACTGATTACTTCAATTGGTGCTCGTCAAGGTTGTCCACTTTCTCCGTTCTTATTCAACTTTATCATTGACATGGTTTTGGAGATGAAACTTTTAACGTCTGACTTTTCAGGAGTTGGCGTTCTACCAGAAGATTCATTTGTTGACTTAGAATATGTCGATGATATAGTTGTGTTTGGTGAAGACGCTGACAAAATGCAGAGTATTCTGAGCATTCAAAGCAATAATGAAAGCATGTGCAGGATGCGATTTTTTCTCTACAAATGCAAAATGTTGCTTCAGCATTGGCTTGAGCCGGCACCTGAACTGGTGATATGGAGTGAGGCAATCGAGCGTGTTGATTGTTTTACTCGGTTGTGAGTCATGGCCACTAAAAACAGAAGATATGGCGTAGGCGATATATCCGTCTACTAATCAAAGGATGAGTTTACTGTGCAGAAGTTCGCTCTTTCCTACTATGTGGGTGTGAGACATGGCCACTAAGAATAGAGGACATTCGTAGATTACTAGTATTCGATCAAAGGTGTCTTCAAAGCATTGCTCGAATATCCTGAGACAACCGAATAAGCAGTGCTGTGTTGGGGAAAGGGTACTAGGTAAGGATGCCAGGTGAATTGATGAAGTGGTGAAGCTCCATCAGTTGAAGTGGTTGGGACATGTATTACTTATCCCTAACCACCAAGTATCTCGATAGACGATGTTGTCTAATGTAGGCTGGAAGAAAACGAGGCTTGGCCAAACCAAGACACGGCACAAATCCATGAAGTCATTGACAACTGGACTGAGCCTTGGTAATAAGGGTAGACTAACCTGGTTGAGGTACGCGAGACAACTGGAACCGATGGTCAGAGACTTTGGATGACACAGCCCGAAATTGTCCGCAATAGCGCAGATGCATCCATTGTTTGTCTTCTTCCATGACTTTTTTCTCTCATTAAGTTTATTTCATTGGCTTATGTTTTCTCAAATTTTATCCTCGATCCCTAATCTACTCCATTATCGCTAATACCGTTACAACCTCTAATAGACAATCCCATCTCCCTGTGGTGTTGTATGGCAACTTGAATTGACGTACGTACGTACGAAGTTCTGTGTTGTAGCTAACTTACTGACTGTATAGTAGAACAAGTGTTAAATAGAATTGACAATCTATTATACTACTTGTCTGCAACCTATACATAAAAGAGCAGCAATTAGTAGCATGTCCAAATTAGAAAAATCTGATAATACTGTTGTCTGGGAAAGAGGGAAAAGATAAACGGTAATTATAGATCATTATTCTTGTGGATATTTACCTGTGTACGATTAGGTTGGAAGAAAACCATAGGTACCCAAACTTGAATGTGACACCGATTTTTGATCTGAACTATGTTTGAGATGAAAACTATTTAGTGGGGATGCTGTTGTCCTATTTGGCACAAGGTCTAATCATTTAAAACTCCAACATGTATTTTGGAGCATGGTTTCAGGAGGCCAGGAATAAAATGTTTTGTACCCAAATTTTAGTGTCGATATTCTTAGCAAACAATATTTCATAGAGGTTGTCTTACGAAAACAAATTCGACAACTACGTACATATGTACTTAAAACAAGTAAAGAAACTATCTTTAGTCCAGTGAAATATTTTCAAGAAGATAAGCTTTATTTAACTTTTAATTAAGATGTTCAGGAATACAAGTTTTCGTTCAGGTCAGCTCCTGTATCCTGTTCACCGTATAGAGTATATTTAATAGATGCGATATTTCAGATCTTGTAAACCTTTGCTTACTTCCATGATTTGTTATTTAACTGCGTGTCGTCCTACCAGAAGAAGGTTTGAATGGAGTATATGATTAGTATCTGTTGACACGACGCGTGCCAAGATTTCTCCAAACTTTAAATGTCTCTCTTTAATCATATTCATAATGATTTCAAACGATCCACTGCACAATCCGCCTCCACCACTCTTTGAGACAATGAAACCTTTTGTCAAAATCCCGGAATCGTTACTTTCTGCTTACTGTATTTATAGTATTACGATGTCATTAATATGGTGTGACATTTTAAGTTACTATTTTACTAATGACTCAACTAATCGATTCATTTTCCGAAAATTCTCTGTCTTTAGATTGATTCTTAATAATGACTAGAATTCGAACATCTCTTGGAGTTTTAAGTCTTGGATTTGGATTGTTCACTGCAGAAGCTTTATATTCTGGAAACGAGCGCTTTTATAAGGACTGGTTTTTACCCACCGCTCGTCTATTAGTCCGTGATGATGAAAATGCCCACAATTTAACAGTTAACATAGTGAGTTATGGTTTTGTACCACATAAACCCCGAAACTCATTCCCCGATATCAAATGTAAAGTTTTTGGACTTGAATTCGATCATCCAGTACGATTGACTGCAGGTTTTGATAAAGATGGAAAAGCATTTATGGGTCTTTTAAATGCAGGATTTTCAAATGTTGAAGTCGGAACTGTCACTCCAAATCCTCAGCCTGGAAACACACATCCGCGTATATTCAGATGGACCGATAATGAGGCGGTAATTAATCGGTAAGGACAGTTTTTTTTATTTCGCAAACAACTCTTTAATTTTGATCAACAATAGATAATGTTAGATAAATTATCAGACCAAAGCATGTCCAACCTTTTAATTGTGCCTCTTCAATACCGCTTTTTACTAACAGACACTCTGTAAACTTGGATTTTCTGTAGATTACTACTACTTAGGTAATTGTAAATCATCTCTATTGGTTCATTTTGTTTTGAAACTGGTAGGATAATTAATTATAAATACATAAACAGATTTTCATGATGTTTAGTAGGAACTTAATATGCTTTACTTTCAACTATATTTTTATGGCATCGCTACCAAAATTTGTCGCCCATGAAGATCTGTAATGTAATGGGTCCCTGTGATAATGTTAACTTATAGTCCATATTTCCTACCCTAATAAGTTTTTGTAAATCGAAAAACATCAACAAATAACCTGGTATAGATGCGAATCGACTCGAATGGCCACACCAAGTCAACAGGATGAAAGAAAGATGGTGATTAAAAAGATTAATTATTGGGAATACGGTTTGGAAAGTAGTATGCACTAAGCCAACACAATAAACAAAACTACTTTCTTCTTTCCCTGACCTACTAAGTAGAGATAGAAGTTCGGTTTCATAATGATGACTTAGATCGAATTAAAAGTACATTTCAAACCAATTGATTACATATCAGTTACAATGATTAGGATTGATGAACTGAGTAATTGTTTGTGAACGTAATTATAATAAACATTTATTGAAAGTTCATAAGAAATGTAACGAAAGTGTGTTTACGTTGAGCCTAGATTCACCGTACACGCAAGTTAATCAATATTGGCTTCCACCTTTATAAGTGATATTTGGGGGTTGCACATCCCAGATGTGCAAATCGAGAAGGTCTGAGTGTAAGGATATTGGGGTTCAAAATCAAAAGGGAGATAATGAATGAGTACACTTATCATGTCATTCAAAGTCTTTAACCACTGATTGCGATTGTCGTGTTAACCTTATTTAGGTAGTCTAAACTAATTAACATGGCTCAACCCAATAGTCAGTGACTTCATGGACTGATTTCATATTTTGGTTTGACAGTCTCTAGCTTTCTAATATATTCCCCAACAAAGTTTAAAAGATGCCTATAATCCTAAACGTAAATGATAACTAGGATTTTTGAAACACGAATCATAACATTAGTGATACTTGTTGAAGAAGAAGCTAAGGACAGAAAATGAGCGTTGTTAATAGAAATAAAAATAATATTAAATATGGCGTTTGACTATGAATGAGGTTATCTCTCATGCTGTCAGATGTATGACAGCAGTTGTCACCTGGTTGCTTACATCATGGAAACATATTTATTCTCGAGAGACCTGAAAAGGAAATTGGATTAGTGGTGATCTTAGAGACTTTGGAACCGCTTAAGGGCTAACTGCTTGAGGTCGATCGGAAACATTTTGTGGGACGTTTTTGATCCTCCATCCAAAACGCTTTATCGATAGAGATGGAAGACCGTGGGTAAAGGTCAATCTTTTCTAACTTCTTCCATCATGAGAAGGCAGCGTTGCTGTAAATCCTAATTATCTGAGCGAAACATCCTTTTGCTATTATATCCCTGTAGAGGCGACAGTACGACTTCGCTATTTGACCTTAAGTTACTGCCTCTAGTCTTACTGTTCTCCAAATAACCTACTTCGGATAGTGGAGGAACAACCGTTCCAACAAATAAAGCTTAATTTAGTCACTCGAATGCAACTCTGACCACTAAGCCAAGATGGGAGCCATGATTGGGTTTATAAGCATGTCATGGATGATTGTATTTGTTTCATGATTTTATTCACTGAAATCACGCCTTTCGATTAGCGTCAAAATTTATTGGAATTATATTTCAAACAGAAAAAGCATCGGTTAAGATAAATACCTAATTCTGGCATTTCCAAAATATATACTTTTTTGTTCTAAAATTAACTACTGTTATAAGTAATTGTCATTTGTAAATTCAAAGCGCAGATATTTATTTTGGTTGAAATGAAAACATACCTTTGTTTATGCTGTCATCATAAAGCAAATATTGTAATATCAACACGTACAATAACGAAATAAGATAACCGGAAATTCTGCATCATCTAGAATTTACTTCTTGAGATTAAATATTTGTAAGTCCTAGCAAAAAATATCTATTGCCAAAGTAGTCTTTTCAGTCGAAAGTGTTTTAGCAACTCGCTTATATTATAATCATATGGTGCGTTATGTAGTGTGTTGTTAATACTAGGTTGTTTCACATTTTATATATAGCGTACGTGTTCACGCACTGGCCTTGAAACATATGTCGTATTTGTTAATCCTACTAATTGACGATTTTCCAAATTACTATATATCGAGCGAGTTCCAAACCGTTTAGCTAATATTTCATAGTCAAGTACTTTAACCCACTGATCACTTTTTTAATCATCTCTGCTACCTTGGCACACTAATTCGATTTGTCTGTCGGGACAACCGAATCAGCCTATGTTAGTTGTGTTGTATTTTTCTAAATTTCACTTGTCTGATCTTGCATCGTGTTATCATTTCAGATGTGGGTTCAACAATGATGGACATGATGCAGTGTATGAAAGGCTCAAAAATCGTCCATGGGAAGGTAGGCTAATTGTAAGTAAATTGACTTTGCTAAATTTAAATATTCCTTAATACTTTTATCATTGTATTTATTGTTCACAGAAAGTTTTCATTCAATTGGTTTCCTTTCCCTACTTTTCTCGACTTGTCTGTTGATGTAAGTTTAATTGTCGCTCAGGGTTTACAGTTTTCAAGGATTTCCTAAACTGTTACAACAGTCAAAGCTTCATTTATGAAGCTGTGTGCATCCGTTTATTGATAGTATCTTATGCAATAGACGAACCTTCATGAAAATGTTTGACCTGAACAAGCAAATGCGTTTATGTAGTAAATAATTGTAAAGTTGCTAATTTTGTTTGATTTATGCAGTCCAATATTCAAATATTGTTTCGAATCAACCTATTTGTAGGTCGAGGTATAGTTGGCGTCAATTTAGGATGTAATAAAACAGGTACAGATCCAACTGCTGATTATGTGGCAGGTGTTCGGAAGTTTGGCGAAGTAGCTGACTACTTAGTAATCAATGTATCTAGTCCAAATACCCCGGGACTACGCTCCTTACAGAACAAAGAAAAGCTACGTAATCTCTTATCCAAAGTAAGTTTAACATATACGGAATAAAACAGTTTTTATTTAGATTAAAATAAATGTCTAACTCACCCCTTCATAAGATTACATTATTCCAGTTTCATTTGACGATGCCATTACATTTCGGCTGGATCTTGAAAGTCATACAACTCAGTCAATTGAAGCAACGTCAGTGGCTTTGCTGTTACAACTTCCGTTTTCGCTCCTTGTGACGAATAGGATTTACTTTTGGGGAAAATGAGATGTTAGAACATCACGTATAAGTGAATTCTATGGTTCTCAGTTAGATCGTCATCAGGCTTTATTTTAATACACATGAATATATGAAAATGTTAAACCACTCAAGGCAGTAATCACAACGAAATAGATTACGTCACTACACATAATATGTAAAATTACAAATTGATAGTAAGAAGACAGGTTTACTGGTAGTAGTAAGAATAATAAAATACGATAGCAAAAGTTCTATCAATAGTTCAACGTTGGAAATAGTAGGTCAAACATGAATAAATTGACTTAAAATAATTCTTTATAAAACAGTAAAACCACTAGGTAGTAAGAAGTGTGTAAATAATTAGATAGTGAAGACTGTAGACGGAAAGAGGCGGAAAATTACAAACGAATGCAGGATGTGAAGATAATGCTTATAATAACAAAAATAAAATGAAAAATACAAAAATTTCTAAAATTGTTTATCCAGCCACGGAAGGGATAGGGGTGTCGCGAATTTCTTCTGAATATATCAGTTGGGGTTGAATGTACGGATTCCTATAGCTTCTGCTATATGTAAGAGACGGGATCGAACTCCCATGGGAAGTGATGGAGGTATACGATAGATCATTCGAAGCGATCCAGATTTATCTACAATATGACCACTATCAACCAGATGTGCCAACACAGAGCTGCGTACTGTTTTTATATGGCCCTTCACTAACCATGTTGAGTGATGTTCACACATTCGTTGGTTAAGTTGCCTGGTAGTACGCCTGATATAGCTATCTCCACAGGAGCAGCTGAATTTATAAATGCACATTGAGGAGGCCAACTCAAGTAACTTATCCTTCGTTTGAATAAACATCGCTGGTTGACTCGAGAAAGTCAACGCAAAATTGATTGAGTAGAATGTCTTACTAATTACTTTCGTTAATCTATCCTGGAGGGTATCGCTAGCCATATCCCCGTTGAATTGTAGTTCACTAAATAAAGGCTTCTTGCGAACGGTCGAATTCTCCGACTTCTTTTTTACATTTATTGGTAATGTTCTTAAACTGTCGCCTCACACAATTTACTCTGGTAATAATGATACAGTTTTTTTTCTAATATTATATTTAATCATTAAATTCTTAGTTTTTTAATGTATTTATCAGTTGCCCTTCATGTCAAGTTTTAATATGTTGTAAGAGATTAGTTATTGTTACTTATCTCTTTTTTTTCATAACCTTATAAGAGTGTGACGAATCACTTGATATAAACACTGCTTTGAAATCACCAACTGTTGAATAAATGAAGTGGGTGGTTCGATAAAGTAATAATCGAATACTGATTTGATGATTTTGGTTTACATATTTATTTACCCACTCCCCCACCTTCCGAAATGAAAAGCCTGTATGATTCATTATAATTAGTTAAATACCACAAAAGTAATCATCGCATGTTTTAAAATTTTTAAGGAAACTCATGAATGTTGTTTTGATCAGTTTCAGAAATGTTGTAAACCCTGCCAGAATACGTTAATTAAGTCGTGCCGTTAAAGCCAACAGTTTGGGAACACAAAATGTTATTCCTGGTCTCCTGATACCACGCTCCAAAATACATGTTGGAGTTTTAAACGATTAGATCTTGTACCAAATAGGACAACATGCTTCCTTAGCAAGGGCTCTAGAACCTGGTGCCGTCGATGTATGCTGCGTATGCGACACGCGCATCCAGGATGTGATTACAGTCATTCACTTGACTTCACCTTGTCGAAATGAAATACCATTCCGTTTTACAGTTCGTGTATCCGGAAGCTCCACTGATGCCTTCCGCGGCCTCACAGGTGTCGGTATAGCTATCTCTCAAACTTGAATCCTAGTAGATAATCGTTTATGTGCTGTCCGACCAAACGGGACAGTAAGGAATCGAAAAGATATGGACACTGACCGTTGCCTCCCTGTTGTCTGTGCCTGCGCGAATGAAACCGGACGACTCCTGGGTGGATCTGATGCTGTCGCTGCCGATCGAACAGATAATGGCGACCGTCCACTACAGTTCTGCTCACGTAGCCGCCTATTTCTCGCGAATACCAACTTTAAGTATAAATAAAAACATTTGGACATGATGGCCCCCGAAGTTGACTCAATATTAGATCCAACTAGACCACATAGCTATCAGCCACCGTTAGGGATGCTCAGTAAAAGACTACCGCCTACTCTGAAGCTCATGTTTAGATTAGGATCATACTCTAGTGCGATCACGTATTTGTCTGAGTCTTACCGAACTTAAGAAAGAAACAGCAAGGAAACCCCTCAAAGTCCTACTTAACAATAGAAAAGCAAAGTGTATATTTCGAGAGCAACTAAAAACAGTTAGACAGCTGTGTAAATAATGCCAACTTCGTGGCACTTGGGAATGTCCAAAAAGCCGCAAAAACAGCAGTGATGTCTGCCAGTAAAAGATGGCATGAGGTTAGCAAGAATCAGAGGATTGAAGTAGCATCGACACCTGAACTGGTGATATGGAATGAGGCAATTGAGCGTGTTGATCGCTTCACTTATCTTAGGCCTCTCATCACTTGTGCTTTAGCTTTATGTGGCTTTTTATAACTATACAATTAACTACTGATGTATCCCTTGTATATGTTATATCAATTTCTAATTTGAATTTTCGATGACATTTTATTTCTTTTCAAGTTTGTTTCATTGGTTTTTGTTTTCTCATATCTTTTCTCCGATCTCTATTCTTTCTGGTTATTACTGTTTCCGTTACAACGGTCACCCATTAGGGATTCGTACTAACATCCTCTTCTCTCTCTGGGCTAATATGGTATTTCAACTTGATCGATGTAGGGACTTTGTATGTTGTCGTTGCTTGACTGACTGACATTCATACTTTATATAACCATAATTTTATCACAATTGACTTTGTTCTATCGATTTTTAAATGTTAGTTGATTTTGTATATCATGTAGTAATTTTTCATATTTCTCTTTGTGATTGATTGTATTCGTTTTGATATCATCATTAGGCATCATACTTTTACAGATTCAGTGTTATTATTATACTCTAATCAAAAATCTCATTATTAAATAAAATGCTGTTGAACTGTCTAAAAATTTCTATTAAATGATATACATTACGTGGTTATAAACTAAATTCGATTAAAAGGTACTAGTTTATGTTATTAACTTAAGTGTGTTATGTAATAAGGCTAATGTTTAGAAGAATCAGTTCATGATCTCAACCTAGAAAAGCAATTCTTGATCGATTCATGGTTTCAAAAAAATGTGTAACTTAACAATCTTCACAACCCTATAATGCAAATTCTTGAATTGTTTGTTTTGTAAAATTATCTTTCTTCATAAGGTTTTATCAGCCAGGAATCAATTGTTGAAAAAAACACCTATTCTGTTAAAAATCTCACCGGATGAAAATGATCAAAGTTTGAAAGATATAGTGGAAGTTGCATTGGATTCGAAGGTGAGAATATTTGTCTAGATTGTGTCATTCACTTGATTCGGTTATGTGTGTATGTATGATGTAATATAGAATCGATGAAATAGATATCCAATCAAAATTATGAAATAAAGTCAACTATAAATTGTGCCAACAAAGCACTCAAAATCATTTTTTTTAAAAAAAAGAATTCAGTGTATACTTTCAGAAGTAAACTTTGATATTGAACAAAATTTACCCGGTTTTAGTCTGTGCTAGTCTCAATTTAAATAGAGTTAATTTGTCACTAAAAAAATTATTTTTTTTTAAAGATTTTTTCAAAACTTGTTTAATTATATTTTTTTGTCTACAAATAAAACAAAATGTGTTTTATTTCATCATAAATTAGTCAATAAATTTATGTATACACAATCTGCGAATTACAATTGCAATTTCCATGAAATATTTATAGGAACTGTTGTCATACAATATCCCAGAATTAGAATATATCGCATATTGATTAGCTAAACATTTTTTCTAGATTTAAAATCAAGTCTTCATTTAATTAATAGTCTAGGAATCTAATTGTCAGTCAATAATTTAACTAACTAACTATGAATAATTAGTGTTCTATTCGGGTGGTGCTAGTTTTGCACCACTGTAATTTCTATGATACGAAGTGGAAACATAAAAGCTGACATAGATGAAAGTTGACTGGCTCTTCAAAAAACACATCATCCAGGAACGATGTCGTTTAATCAAATGCACTAATTTACACAGTCAGTCAGTCAGTCAGTCAGTTAGTTAGTTAGTAACAACGTAGAACTTCGTACATGAGTGCATAAGTTCAGGTTGCCATACCGTATCAGCGCAGAACCGCAACTGTCAGTTCAAATCCCATATTGGTAGAGATAGTAGAAGTATTAGCAGTAATGAAGATTAGGGTTCGAAGATATTATTCGAGAAGTATAATTCAGTTAGATAACCTTAGCAAGAGATAGATAGAGATGATGAAGAATTCAGAAGGTTAGAATTTGAGCGAACACAATGAATGAATGCACCTGTGCCACTGCAAACAATTTTGAGCCACACACACACACATGATGATTGGTAAATAGACATCGTCTAAACGAAAGAATACAAAGAATTACTTCAAAATACATACACCGTTCATACAGAATAATACAAAGAATATAATTAACACGCTGAGCCAAAGTTTGAACAAAATTAACACCTACAAATGTATTGACCATGTTACATTGGAAAAGATGAAACCAATATCACACTGTCTAAAATTGTTACACTGTGAATAAAACAAATGTCAAAATCTCACATTGAGCCAGAAAAAGCATGAGGTCGCTCTCTTGTCTTGATTTATCGGTTTGTTCGGTGGTATTATTGGCCATTTGATGACAGTATGCGTACAGTCACAAATACTTATTAGTATTTCTCATTCCCTATGTAGTTGTAAGAGTAATTTATAGATCGTCTCATAACATCAAACCTAAAATTAATGAGTTGGGTTGATGAAGTTATCTCATAGATCTCCAATCATTACTATTCCTCCATGAGTTCTTAGGAAATTGGGCATTAGTTTATAAAATCATGAACTTTTAATATGATCTTTGTAAAGAAATGCAAGTTTCCTGATTAAGGTTCGTGCAATATGGTTAAAAAAACACTAGAAAACATGAATCAGAATTGAATGTATTGGTAAAATCGATTCTTTATCTTCCTCTTCAGATGATTAAATCATCTAATTCAAAATACACCGCATTCAAAAGCATCCATTTTTATTGTTATTTATGAAAAAAAATTAAATCCATAAATCTAAAATAATCATATCACTTTTCAAGATTCAGCCGTAACCGCGAAATAAATCTAAAATAAAACATGAACGGTTTATTACCACCTGCCTCAGTTGATTTTTTTTTCTCAATATTTGGATGATTTTGTACGTTTTTGGTTACATATCTAACAGTTTCTTGGATAACGGATAGTAAGGAATAAGATGATGAGACTAGAATAATTTTGACACTTGAGTTCTTTTCATTGGAGATGCGTAGACAACTGTCTTCTCCAGAAAAAAGTTGTATGAATGGTTTGTCTGAGCAATAGCAGCAGTAGCCTTAACATAAATTATGTCACTCAAAGCTGACTACATAAACGTCTGCTTGATATATACATTATTGATAACACTTATGATTTAACTTTATGATGCACTTATAATTAATAGTATATCTTCTATCAAATTTGTAGACTCGAATAGATGGTATGATTATTTCAAACACAACACTTGCAACGTATGAAGAAGCTGTAGCTTGCGGTGCTGCCCCTATACCAGGAAACAATGGACAGGATGCAGTTGTCTATGGTGGTTTAAGCGGTCGACCATTGTTTCAAAAATCAACAGATTGCTTAAAGAAAGTCGCCGCATTAACTAAAGGTGCTATTCCTCTGATTGGTGTTGGTGGTATTAGTTGTGGTGAAGATGCGCTGTCCAAATTAAATGCCGGTGCTAGTTTAGTGCAATTGTACACAAGTTTTATTTACCAAGGACCACCGGTTGCTCATAAAATTGCTAGAGAAATTAATGAATTAAAAATGACGCCATCTTGAACTGTCGACTAAAATAACTTGTTTTTTCTTTCTAGTATAGAACCATTTAAGTGCAACATTTTAATCAAAATTACCTGTACATAACATTTTCGTAAGTGTAGTTTATTTTGTAAACACTACTAGACTAAAATTTCTTGTAAAAAAGATGCGTGAATTTTTTGTAATGAATTTCTCCCATGTCCAACAGTTATTTGATTATAATCTGATACTAGCAATCCATACACTTAGACGGTTGCACAGTATTTCTTGATTTTCAATGGGCTTTACAGTCGATGAATGCTACTCCTTAATACAAACTTATCCTATTGCTGCTGCAAATTACTTTTCTAAATTATACAGTTGATATTCAGATGGGGTATTGTTGGGGATGTTAGATCCCCAAAATTCGCTTGATAATGCCGTATTTCGGTTTTCACGTTCGCCAGCAGGGGCTGATCAAATGACCTTGAGATTTCAATTCCCACCAGGAAAATCAATGGCTGTGATTGGCTACAGTGTATTTTAGTATGCTATTTTCTTAACTGTCTCAAGGACGTTGTTATGTTGTATAAATAAACGAGAGTTGTATGCTTGATTGTACTGGGATTGCTGGGTGCTTGTAGAATATACTTCTACGCCTACAAAGTCTTCTATTTCGATTCTGGGATTCAGGGTAGCCTTCCTGGAAGCTGGTAAAAGTCTCGTTCGCGTTTATCGACTAAGGTAAACTCGTAATAGCCTCAAGCATACTAAGTGACGAACTTATCAGTGGCGACGGTGCTTTTGGAAATATGGATCCTGCCAAACTTGAATTACTACTTGAGCAGCAGCTGAAACTGATGCAGATGTTGACAGACATGAAGATTTCCCCTTTCACACAGCACAGCTCAAGTAATGCAACCACAGCTCCATCGGTCGACGGCATCGCAAATAGCATGGCTGAATTTCATTATGATCCTGATGCAAATGTTACTTTTGACATGTGGTTCCGGCGTTATGAAGATTTATTTAAATTTGATTTTGCCAATCAAGATGATGCTTGGAAGGTTCGGCTGCTACTTCGAAAGTTGGGCGCAAGTGAGCTGGATAAGTACTGTAATTTGATCCTGCCTTTGAACCCACGAGATTGTTCATTTTCTGAGACTGTCCAGACTTTAAGCCAACACTTTGGAGACAACTCGTCACTATTTAATACTCGTTATCGATGTTTGAAGCTTATTATGAACGAAGATGATGATTTTCTTACTCACGTGGGCATCGTCAACCGTGAATGCGAACGCTTTCGGTTGAAGTCTTTGTCGGAAGACCAGTTCAAAGCCCTTATACTCATCTGCAGCCTCCAGTCGAGTAAGTTCAGTGACATTAGAACAAGGCTACTAAGTCGGTTGGAGCAAGATCCAAAGCTTACGCTTAATGATATGGCTCATGAGTACCAACGTCTCACTAACCTACAACGAGACTCGACTATAGTTCAGAGTGGTAGTTCAAGCCGATCTGAAATTCATTTGGTACAGCAGCCACCTAATCATTATAAGTCTGCCCGTGCTACACCCAGTTCACCCCGCTCCAATTCGGCCCAAAAACCCAAAATGAATCCACCTTCTGCTTGCTGGCACTGCGGTTCATGGCACTATGTACGGAACTGCCCATTTAGGCAGCATAGATGCAGGAAGTGTAAAGTCATCGGTCATAAAGATGGCTTTTGCCTACAGAAAAAGCCAAAGCGATCCAGAAGTGCTAAGAAGCCTGTTCCTAGATCCAGTACCAATGCATTGAGCCTAATATCTTCCTGCCAAAGTTCATCACCAGGTGAGAGGAAATTTATTACTCTTAATATTAACGGTTATTTGTGTAGAATGCAAATAGATACTGCATCCGATGTCACTATCCTCTCACGCAAAAATTGGACCAAGTTGGGCAGCCCAAGCCTGCAGCACACAACACAAAAGCCTCGCACAGCATGTGGTAATTATCTTCGTCTGTTAGGACAATTGGAATGTAAAGTTGCTTTCCGAGATTCGTCGTTTACTGTGGTATGCTATATAACGCCAGCTGATCTAAATTTACTTGGTTTAGATTGGTTCGACCAGCTAAAATTGGCTGATGTCCCTCTAAATACCATATGCAACCTGGTATCACAACGACATGACCCAGAAGCGTATACGAAGAAGCTGATGACAGAGTTTTCAACCATTTTTGAACCTGGATTAGGTCGGTGCACTGCTATGAAAGCAACACTTCGGTTGAAACATGGGGCTAAGCCTGCTTTTCGTCCAAAGAGACCTGTACCGTATGCTACATTAGCAACAGTAGATGAAGAGCTGGATCGCCTTCAACGACAAGGAGTTATTACTCCCGTTTCTTACTCCAGTTGGGCAGCACCTATAGTCGTTATCAAGAAGGCCAACGGCACGATACGTATATGTGCTGACTTCTCTACAGGTCTCAACGCAGCTCTAGAACAGCATCATTATCCTCTGCCAGTCCCAGCAGATCTGTTCACTATGCTGAATGGAGGAAAGTTCTTCGCAAAGCTTGACCTAGCTGATGCTTATTTGCAAGTGGAAGTCGATGAAGCATCTAAAGAGCTGCTTACTATCAACACTCATCGTGGTTTGTTTCAGTATAACCGTCTACCTTTTGGAGTTAAGACTGCCCCATCTATCTTCCAACAACTAATGGATACTATCCTGTCAGATATCTCAGGGGTTGCAGCTTATCTCGATGATATCTTGATTGTTGCGAAGACGTTAGAACAGCTACGGGAACGCACGACATTGGTACTACACCGCATCAGTGACAATGGTTTCCGGTTACGCCCAGAAAAATGCCAGTTTCTATTGCAGTCGGTAAAGTATTTGGGATTCATCTTTGATGCCGACGGTCGCAGACCAGATCCTGAAAACATCCGAGCTATCAAACTGATGCCCACTCCCACTAATGTTTCCGAATTACGATCTTTTCTCGGTTTAATCAGTTATTATTCAGCTTTTGTTCCCTCGATGCATGATATTCGTGCTCCATTGAATTGTCTACTGCAGAAGCATAGCACATGGAACTGGACTAAAGAGTGTGACGCGGCTTTTGATAAACTCAAGTCTATAATTAGCTCGGAATTGTTATTAACACACTACGATCCATCCATGCCGATCATCGTAGCAGCAGACGCTTCAGCATACGGCCTAGGTGCTGTTATTTCACATCAGTTTCCAGACGCGTCAGAAAAAGCCGTTATGCATGCATCCCGTACACTGACCCCAGCAGAAAAGAAGTATAGCCAGATAGAGAAAGAAGCTCTTGCCCTTGTGTTTGCTGTTCGCCGTTTCCATAAGTTTCTGTACGGTCGGAGATTCACGCTCCTCACAGATCACAAGCCTCTGTTAGCAATATTTGGTTCAAAGTCTGGCATTCCAGCCCATTCTGCAAATCGTCTTCAGCGATGGGCCTTGGTACTTTTGGGGTATGATTTCGAAATCCAATATCGACGTACTCTACAATTCGGTCAAGCAGACGCTTTGTCACGACTCATTAATGATCAAGTGGCGGCTGAGGAAAACATGGTGATTGCATCTCTGTCAGTAGAAGACCACGCAGAATGTTATCTGACAACCGCAGTTCGCGCATTACCGGTGTCTGCAACAGACATACAAAATGCTTCTAGAAACGACCCCATCATCAAGATGACGATGAAATATGTCACAAACGGTTGGCCGTCGAAAAAGTTTGAAGGTGACATGAAGCAACTGTATCAGCGGCAACTGTATCAACGAGTGTCTGATGTTTGGTAAAAGAGTAGTGGTGCCAGAATCCCTTCGTGCAAAAGTGCTGAGACAGTTCCATCTTGGTCATCCTGGGATTAAACGAATGAAGTCCATAGCCAGGAGTTATGCATACTGGCCTCACATGGATCAACATGTCACAGCGTTGGTTGAAAAATGCATCCGGTGTCAGCAGGCGGCAAAGATGAATGCCAAAATTCCGCCGGTTTCATGGCCCAAACCTGAGCATCCTTGGTCCAGGATACATGTCGACTTCGCTGGCCCAATAAATGGAACTATGTATTTAATTGTCGTCGACGCCTTTTCTAAATGGCCGGAAATCAGCCCCGTTATGCCGCCCACTACAACTAAGACTATACAGCTCCTAACTGAAATTTTCTCACGAAATGGCATACCAGATGTGATCGTATCCGACAATGGCTCTCAATTCACCTCTTCCCAATTCCAGAATTTCTGTCAACGGCTAGCCATTAAACACTTACGCTCGCCACCATACCACCCTCAGTCGAATGGGCAGGCGGAAAGGTTTGTGGATACGTTTAAAAGAGCACTGCTTAAGTCAAAAGTGGAGGGGACGCCAGCCGAAGCGTTACAAAATTTCTTGTACGTCTATCGGACAACACCAAATGAATTGTTACCGGAGCAAAAGTCCCCAGCTGAAATCCTGATGGGAAGAAGATTGAAAACGATCCACAGCCTGATGCATCCGACCAATGCACCCTCATCAGTAGAGACAAAGCAGCAAAGACAATCCGCTTACGAAGTAGGATGCCCTGTGTTTGCCCGCGACTACAGAACGAACCATGGTCCTTGGGTAGAAGCGAGAGTGGTCAGAAGGGTTGGTCGAGTTATGTACGAAGTAGAGGTAGGAGGTGATAAATGGTCACGTCATCGCAATCAGATACGCAGACGGCTAGCCCCCGATCGCCCATCAAGAGCAGAAAGCCTTCCCCTTGACATCTTGCTTGATACCTTCAACCTACCGAGAGCCCCGCCACGAGAAGAAACTCAGCAGCCAGCTGTTCTTCGTTCCCGAAGGTATCCCCTCAGACAGCGGCGAACAATAGTCAAGATGCAAGTCAACCACAGGAGAACACGCTATTAAAAAGGGGAGGAGTGTTGGGGATGTTAGATCCCCAAAATTCGCTTGATAATGCCGTATTTCGGTTTTCACGTTCGCCAGCAGGGGCTGATCAAATGACCTTGAGATTTCAATTCCCACCAGGAAAATCAATGGCTGTGATTGGCTACAGTGTATTTTAGTATGCTATTTTCTTAACTGTCTCAAGGACGTTGTTATGTTGTATAAATAAACGAGAGTTGTATGCTTGATTGTACTGGGATTGCTGGGTGTTTGTAGAATATACTTTCTACGCTTACAAAGTCTTCTATTTCGATTCTGGGATTCAGGGTAGCCTTCCTGGAAGCTGGTAAAAGTCTCGTTCGCGTTTATCGACTAAGGTAAACTCGTAATAGCCTCAAGCATCCTAAGTGCC